AAGTATTTATAATTAGGTTTGTGACCTTTCCATACTTCATAAGGTATCTTTTGCGTTTTTCGATGTGGTAGTTTGTTAAGAATATAGTTGGCGGAAAGCAAGGCTTCCCCCCACAAGTTCTGCGGTAATCCAGAACTTATCAACATAGCATTCATCATCTCTTTTAATGTTCGGTTCTTGCGTTCAGCAATAACATTGGATTGAGGAAAATAAGGCGTGGTAGTTTGATGAATTATTCCGTGTTCCAAACAGAATTGTTGAAATGGAGAATCATATTCACCATCTCTATCACTTCTTATAGCCTTAATTTTTTTACTAAGTTGATTTTCAATTTCCAACTTGTAATGTTTAAACACGTCAATTGTTTTGTCTTTGCTTTTGAGTAAATACACATAGCAATATCGAGTGCAATCATCGATAAAAGTAATAAAATACTTATTACCTCCTCTCATTTGAACAAACTTTAGATCACATATGTCAGTGTGAATTAAATCTAGAGGTTCGGTACTTCTTTCAACAGAACAAAAGGGTAAACGTGTCATTTTGGCTTCTACACATATATCGCATTTGTGATTAGGATTTAAATCACACTTTGGTAATAAATCTAATTTGATTAGTCTACGCAAAGTGTTATAACTTGTATGTCCTAATCGTTCATGCCAAATGTTAAATGACTCAAACAAGTAAGAAGAAGATGTATTCTTATTAATTGGAGGTACAACAGTCATTGCATTCAATTTAAAGAGCCCCTCATTCAGGTAGCCTTTTCCTACAAACATTTCATTCTTTGATAGTACAAATTTGTCCGAGACAAATACTAGTTTAAACCCATTCTTACTTAGTAGAGAACCAGATACCAAGTTTTTCCTAATATCGGGCACATGAAGAACATCATTCAGAGTGAGCTCTTTTCCACTTGTCATTTTCAGCACTATCTTCCCATGTCCTTCTACCTTGGAAGAAGACGAGTTTCCCATGTATAGATGTTCATCATGATCCATTGCTTTGTAGGTAGAGAACATCCCGAGGTTTGAGCATATGTGACGAGTAGCTCTAGTATCCACCCACCACTCCTTAGTGTTTCCAATTAAGTTGCATTCAGAGACGACCGCAGAAAGATTCATGTCTTGTACCTTATCAGTGAGGTTCTCATGTTCCGTTACATTGGCCTGGTTAGTTTTTCCCTTCACATTTTTTGCTTTTGACAATCCTTGGATCGATGTCCTGCCTTGCCACAATTGTAACAGCTGCCTTTAAACTTTTTAGCAGTTTTTGAAGAACCAATTTGTCCTTCCCCATTGTGCTTCCTCTTTTTGCTTGTCTTGAAACCTCCTTCTACAATGTTGGCTTTTGGTTCCATCGAAGTAGATGCACCATTCCTTTTTTCCGTTTTGCGATTGTCTTCTTCTATTCTCAAACGGACAATGATATCTTCAAGTTTCATTTCCTTCCGCTTGTGCTTGAGGTAATTCTTGAAATCCTTCCATGAAGGTGGTAATTTCTCAATTAGTGCAGCGACTTGGAATGATTCACTTAGTTTCATTCCTTCGGCATGGATGTCGCTAAGTATGATCTGAAGTTCTTGAACTTGGGATATGACAGTCTTGTTGTCAACCATTTTATAATCCAAAAAACAACCGACAATGAATTTCTTCGTGCCGGCATCTTCGGTTTTGTATTTTGTGTCCAAAGATTCCCACAGTTCTTTTGCAGACTTAGCATTGCAGTACACATTATATAATGTGTTATCCAGTCCATTAAGCACATAATTTCTGCATAAGAAATCAGAATGCTTCCATGCATCAACCGCAGCCAATTTTTCAGCATCACTGTCTTGCTCGGTACGGACGGCGGCGGCGGCGCGCGCGTGTGAGTTTATGACCGAACCCAATGGGATATAGGTCTTCCCCCTTCCAAAGACTATTGGTACCCCTTGGGGCCCAAACCCAATTCCAAACTTCCACCTTATAAACCACACCAAAGTTTCCTAACTTTCCTATGTGGGATAAGTGTTTGACAAATCAAATTCTTCCATAATCCTTAGTTTATGTGGGTTACTTTAACGCTTAATATTTCATTCAATTTTAAATGGTTTTCGATAAATAAATATATCACGTTAATCATCTCGCGGAGTAGAACGTGAATATGCTAGGTCCCGTATTATTTAAAAGGTGGGTCCCACTGAAATTTGGGCTCAAAGTTGACCCATTAAACCATTTTTTCCAACACAATGCTCTTGCTTCTTCCGTCTTGCGGGGAGGAAAGTTGAACAATTGTTCTTTGGGTGTGGAAGAACCTCACTGATTGTGCTTCAATAGGTTGGCCAAGGAGGAGGAAGTTCACCAATATACCCTTGTGGAGCTAACAATACACCCTTGTGGAGCTAAAAGACTGATTAGTTTATCGAGGCAAAGAAAACTAAGAGAAGTCCAATCCTTTTCCTCTCAGTTTGTAAAGATAGGCCAATGGATTAGAATGAAAAACACCTTTGGGTTTCTCTGTAATCTTCTCCACCGACCACAGGTGATTTATTTTCTTCTTTTTGCTTTATGATGTTTACTCAACTTGAGGTGGTGTTGAGAATGTAATTTGTAAGAAATAGTGGACAAGTGACAGTAATTCTCTTTAAAAAACTAGCTGGTTTTATTCCTAGGTATCTGGAGTCGATATGATAGGCTGGACACACTAAAAAAAAAAAAAAAAAAAAGTTTTGAACCCCAATTTTGAGAGTCCCTACCGTCCTGCTTCTAAAGTTTTGTGAGGGAGGTAAATTATGGAATGTGTCCCAACAGGTCAGAGAACAAGAGCTGCATGTACATTGCGCTTATAAGGAATCCAATTTCATGTTTCAGGAATCAAATTTCCACATTGCAACTGCCAGCAAGGCGTGAGATAACATCACTCCTATCCTTTGTATCACTAGACTATGCCCCGAGGGGCGATAGGCTGGACACACTAATATCACAAGCAGGCGGTTCAAGTGGGCACATGAAAGTGGACATGCCGTGGTAGGTGAGTACCGTTAATAAAGGTTAAATATAATATTTTCAAAAACTGAAATTGTGTTCCTCTTTGTTTGGAATTTTGATAATGAATTTTTTTCCGTTAGAGATAAAGTGGATCTTATCTTCAAGAAAAGAAATCAAAAATAACGATTGGAATAATAAAATAATGATAAAAAAATTGATTTTAATTGACTTAAAATCTATATCAAACAAGCACTGACACATAATTTTTAGCATGAACTGTGGAAAAATCATAGTTATCGCATCAAACTAAAAGTCTCAATCGATCAATATTGTTAAATTGTGACTTATATCTACCATATTTATCTTCATTTCGATTTTGTGTAACTCGTTTGCCACCTGGACCCTAGTCCTCTAATAATGAAGAAATTTGTGGTTATCTTCGTTTGGTTTTGTGTAACTTATTTCTCACCTGGGCCCCAGTCCATTAATGATGACAATTTTATAAAATTATAATATATAAAAATGCTAAATTAGATTAATTGTGCTACTTGTACATAAAAATGATACATAAATGATTATAGAAGATGATGTGGAGAGAAAATATTGTTTCAAAAAGATGATTGAGTTTTAAACTGACAAATGATAGAGCGACATATGACATTATGTAACCCATTATGTAAAGTTTGAAGTACATATAGCAAGATCCAAATTAGATAACGTGCAACTCGTTTCTTCTCATAAGTACAAATTTTAGTAATTCTGCAAGGCGTCTATAAATGCACTAAGTTCACTTGCAATCCTGCATATAACGAATTTTGTTGTTGTGAAGTGTGGTGAAAGTCGTTGCATTCGTGTGCTATCAAACGAGAGAACAATTTTAATGGATCCTAGTTTGTATAACGCTGTACAACAGGGCAATCTTAATGCCATCACAGAAAAGAAGGAACTTGTCTGTACCACTCAATTGACACCGAACAAGAATACTTTACTTCACGTTGCTGCCCAGTTCAACGACTCCCAGAAATTTGCATTAGAAATCCTCATGATAAATGAATCCTTACTCTGTGAAGCGAACTCAGATGGTGAGACCGCGCTTCACGTTGCCGCGAGAAGTGGCAGGCAGAATGTCGGGATAGCGATGATGGAATTTGCAAAGAGATTAGATGGAGAGCTTGAAGCCGGAGGCGAAGCGCTCAAAAAGCTGCTAACATGGAAAAATAGAAATGGAGACACTGCACTGCACGAGGCAATCAGGAATGATCAGCCGAATATGGTCCTTTTGTTGATACAAAACGACCCTGAACTTGCAAATATAGCGAATAATGCACTGGAAACTCCATTGTTTCTTGCAGTTGATGTCAATCCAGATGATGAGAACCGGAAAATGTGTGTGAATCACATATTGGAAAATTGCTCATCACCGGCTTACACTGGACCAAATAGGAACACTGTTCTGCATGCTGCGGCTTTATATGATTGGAAACGTAAGTCTTTAATTTTATTACTAGCAATTCTTGTGTTCTTTAACAAGAAGATGCTCTTGGAGCTTAATATAGGCCAGAGAGTTGGACTATGTCATGTGGCCTTTCTAATATTCAAGGAAAATTTTTTTGTAGTCTTAATCAATACTCCGATCACCATAAAAGCACTTTCTTATTACTTTTATATTTCTCTCTTCACTAAGATTTTATTATGGGAAATTCAACATTTCCTCCATGACTTGGATTTTGGTTTTATTGTATGAATCAACCACTTGCTAGTTGGCCAAAATAGATCACTAAGTAAAATTTAATATTCTTCTTTCTCCATTTCTTGGTATTCATTGTGATCAATGAGTCTTATTGCTAATTTTACAGTATTCTCTTGAATCAATATAAAATTAAACGGTTGTTGGTATAAGTTTGTGTTCATCATTCTAGTACTTATTTTTCCTGCATAAGAACTGCTTTAATGCACTCTAGCTAATGCCTAATTCTCACTCAAAATTTGATGAATGCAGGAATATCAGAAAAGTTGTTGAAAAAACATCCAACTATAATAACGGAAGTAAATGATTTTGGATGGAGTGCTCTCCATTTTGCAGCACAACGTGGATCCAATGAAGTAGCAGAGGAACTATTAAAGGCTGATAAATCAATAGCATACATAGTTGCAGAAAAAGATTACAATAGAACAGCTCTTCATATAGCGACTTGTTACGGGAAGGTAAAGATAATGGAAGAGATTTTAGCATATTGTCCTGATTGCTGGGAGATGGTTGTTGGAAATGGCCAAAATATTCTACATCTTTCCGTGGCATTCGAGCAACAAGAATCATTTAAATTTATCATGAAAAAATCATGGGTTGGCTACCTCATTAACCAAAAAGATGAAGAGGGAAACACACCCCTCCACGAATATGCTGCAGCTCCCAACTACTTCTATGGCTATGATCTTGTAAACCATCCACAAGTAAAAAAGAATGCTGTGAACAAGGAATATAAGACGCCTCTTGATGTGGTAATGTTTTCCGATGTTTATTCAACAAGACGGGTAAAGATAATCTCCCTTCAATTCTTTACGTTTTTTCATTTTTTATTTTCTGAATGAAACTACTAAACTTTCATTTTATTTCTTGTACAACGTGGAAAAACAATTTGAAAGGTGCTAAGGGAACGTGTTACTATCCTCTTATCATAACAATGTGCCAAATCGAACTAGTTAGTTTTCTAAAATAAGTGATGCTCTAAATGAAATGACAGAGAACAAAGACCTTTTTTTTTTCCTATTATTGGTTTTAGGACTAGCTTGTTTGGTAGGAAAAGCTGCAATTCGGGATAATAACAAAGAAGAAAAATAAGTTAAAATATTATCTATAGTATGTGTACCAAACATGTCTTGACGAAAAATGAGGATACCAGAAGTAAAGTTTCCGCGTCTAATAAAAGCGTCTACCACACAAAGTGCTGCTCATGTATAAATTTTTTTTTGGTTGATCCTTTTGTCGCTTGACTCCTTGGTTTGACACTATGCAGAATGCCGTACAGAAGGAATTAAAAGAAAACCATGCTTCCCTAGGTATTGTGAATGAAGTGAATCTTGAAAATTATTGGCGATTGCAGATGAAGAATCCTGAAAATAAAAGGATGGTTCCAGCAGATATTAGAAAAGCAGCCGACACTCATATGGTAGTGGCTGCTCTCATAACAACAGTTGCATTTGCTGCCGGATTCACCATTCCAGGTGGGTACGGAAATGATGGCCCAAACGAAGGCATGGCAATTTTATCAAGAAAAGCTGCTTTTAAAGCGTTCATTATAACTGATACATTAGCTGTGGTTTGCTCTGCTTCTGCTATTTTTCTCCACTTCATTGGAGCCAGTTTCACTGACAAGTTGAAGCTTGTGCACTCGTATCTTGCTGGTGCACTACTTGTTATAGTTGCCATGGGGGCGATGGTGATTGCTTTCATGACCGGTTTGTACACGGTGTTGGAACAGTCACTAGAAATTGCTATTATAGAATGTGTCATTTGCAGCTTCTGCTTTCCTATTTTCTACTACTGAGTGAAAAGGGCATTTAGTGTGGATTTGTTGAAAAATAAACCAAATTAATGATCACTGATGAATTCAAGAATCAATTACTGAACTTTATTTTAGTCCAGTGTCTACTAGTATTTCAATAATTGATTGAGTAATTTAAGGAGTCTTCTTGGATATGTAATAGCCACATTTATTTTGATGCATTTCCCTGTGTCTTCTAGTATGTATAAATTAGAATGTTCAAGAATCAATTACTGAACTTTATTTTAGTCCAGTGTCTACTAGTATTTCAATAATTGATTGAGTAATTTAAGGAGTCTTCTTGGATATGTAATAGCCACATTTATTTTGATGCATTTCCCTGTGTCTTCTAGTATGTATAAATTAGAATGTAATCTGCAGTAACTTTTTAAGGCAATAAGATTGAGTATTTCTGATAATATAATTCCCAACTTTGCTTGCCTTCAAACTAGTATTAGAGCATTCAATCATTACAAAAATTGTTCACAGAATATAACAGCAGCAACATAACTTAGAAAAAAAATCATGGCAAATCCAAGTAATCTGGTGTCTCTTATTCTTCGTTTCATTGGGGAAGATTATGACTATGGGCATCAAAATATGAAAGTTTTGCTGAAATCTATGAAGCTCTAGAATATTGTTGATGAAGGTTTGGAAGATCTGGAGACTGAAGATGAAATGATTCAAGCCCAAAGAAATGCTTTAAATGAAAAGCGAGAAAAAGACAGTAAAGCCCTTTACCAAATTTACCAGGCAATTGAAAGACCGATGTTTGAACGAATTACAAAAGCTGAAACTTCAAGGCAAGCTTGGGAAATTTTGCACACAACATACATTGGAGAAGAGAGTAAAAAAGGTACGCTTATAGTCCTTGAGATTAGAGTTTGAGAAATTAATGAAAGAAGAAGAAAGTCTTTCTGATTACATCACGAGGGTTACCACAATTATATATCAAATGGCATTCAATGGCGAATGTTTAGAAGATCAGAAATTTGTTGAAAAAGTTCTTCAAAGTCTACCATCAAGGTTTGATTTCATTGCTGCCACAATTGAGGAATTTAAAGACTTGGAAACACTTTCATTAAATGATCTACTTGCATCATTAAAATCTCATATGAACTGCGAGTAAAGCACAGGAATCATTCACTCCCTGATCAAGCACTCAAATCTCAAAATTTGGGAGGCTCTAATTCTAATATTTTTAGAGGAAGAGGATGATCAAAAGGTTGAGGGAGAGGCCACCATTCTAGCGGAAGAGGAAGAGGATTTCGAAGTGGTGGAGAGTTCAAAGAAGAAGTAAAGGATGATCACACAAGCAATTTTCGATGAAGTCAAGGCCGAGGATATCAACAAAGAGATAGAAAAGAATTCCCTAAATGCTATTACTATCATAAAACTAATCATAAAAGTAGTTGTTACTGGTATAAGGGAAATGGAATATGTTGAATGTTATCATTGTCACAAACTTGGCCATAAAAGCAAGGAGTGCTGGAATAAGAAAAATAAGGATAAGGCAGAAACTAGTTTCATTCATAAAAATGACAACGATGATAAGCACACTTTTGAAACTTTGTTATATTAACATGTGAAAATAATCTGAATGATGATGTTTGGTATCTAGATAATGGTGCTAGCAAGCATATGACTGAAATAAAACTTGTTTTCTAAGCTGGTAGAATTAGAATTAGGGCAAGTCAAAGTTGGCAAAGCTAAAGCTTCTGCAATTAAAGGGATTGGAGATATAACAATTGAAACTAAGATTGGAAAGCTTGAAAAGATGTCTGATGTTTATTATATTCCTGGTTTGTGAAGCAATCTATTAAGTACTGGCCACCTTTTAAGAAAGGGTTTTGGGATCAATTTACATGATAAATTGTGCATTTTGATCAGAGAAAATGAGATTGTCACAAAGATCCCATTGGCATCAAATAATTTATTTCCTATTCATCTAAAAATTACCTATGTCGCTGCTCATTTCGTTGGCACGAATGGAGAAATCTAGAAACTATAGCATGATGGGTATGGTCATTTAAATTGTGGAGCCTTGAAACTATTATCGGAAAGGAAAATGGTGGATGGACTTCCTCAGGTTGATCAACTGAATCAACTGAATGAAGTTTGTGAGGCCTACCAACTTGGAGAGTAACATAGAAGTTCATTTTCACACAAGTCATCTTGGAGAGCCAAACAACCACTACAACTTATCCATTCAGACTTGTACGGACCAATTCTAGTTTTATCTCTTGGAAGTAGTAAATATTTTATCTCTTACGTTGAAGACTTTAGTAGAGAAGTTTCGCCATATTTTCTCAAAGAAAAATCTGATTGCTTTCAAGCTTTCAAAGATTTTAAAGCTAAAGTTCAGAAGTTTTCTGAATTTTATATTAAGACATTAAGAACAGATCGTGGGACTGAGTATTTTTCAAGGGACTTTGAAAAATTGTGCAGAAATCTGGGAATAAGACATGAACTAACTATACGGTATTCATCATAGCATAATGGAGTTTGTAAAAGAAAAAATCGAACCATTAAGGAAATGGGAAGATGCATGCTTAAAAGAAAGCAACTATCACAAGAACTTTAGGCAGAGGCAGTTGCTTCTGCAGTATATTTGATCAACAGGTTACCCTCAAAAAGTTTGAATAACATGACTCCACATGAAGCCTGGTATGGTTCAAGACCAATAATTTCACACCTAAAGATCTTCGATAGTCCTGATTTTGCCCATATAACAGATGCTATAAGGAATAAATTGGATGATAAAGCTCAAAAACACATTTTTGTTAGATGTAGTGAGCGGTCTGAAGGTTATAAATTATGCAATCCATTGACGAAGAAAATTGTGATAAGTCAGGATGTAAAGTTCGATGAAAATAGAACCCTTGAAGGTAATGAGAGTAGTCAATCAATAAAATTTCAAAAAGAAGATAATACCTCAAATGAAAACTGTGACAATTCTTCAAATTGTGGTTCCCTTTCACCTCCAAGTTCTTCTAGAGGAGAAGAATATGAGAACGAGCCACCAAGAACAAAATTGAGAAAATTGCAAGAAATCTATGAGTCTACAGATCCTACTCATGAAGAAGGTGTTGTTTTGTTTGCCTTTTTTGCAGGTAAGGATCAAATTTTATATGATTTAGCAATAAAAGAAGAAAATGGAGAAAGGCCACGAAGGAAAAAATTGATTGCATTAAAAAGAACAATACGTGGCAGCTCAAAAATCTGCCACCAAACAAGAAGCCTATAGTAGTAAAGTGGGTGTTGAAAACTAAACTCAATCTTGACAATTCAATCAACAAACACAAGGCTTGACTAGTAGCAAAGGGGTATATGTGCAAAGAAAAGGAGAAGACTACAATTAGTGCCAACCCTGGCCTTAGGCAAACTAGGCTACTACCTAGGGCCTCAACATTCTAAGGGGCCTCATACCAAATTCAGTCCAAAACTCGCCTCAATCTAGAACCCACCAAATATCTTAAAAAATCATTCGTTTACCTTAGGTTACAGCCTTACAGCAACAGGATAGAAGAGATAGTGTTACTGATTTCTCTCGTAATCTCTACCAGAAAATCTATTAATTCCCACACTATTGTTACATTTATTGTCACTTTCGAGAAACTGGATAGGGTCCTTTATTCGCACAAGAAATTTTTGATTCCGTTGAAGACTTCCAAAAATTTTAGAAAACTAAGCCAAGGTAAAATTTTATAGTGCTGCTGTGTTTGTTTTTTCAGTATTTTTTTTGGTGAGATATATGTTCTTGAATATTCATATTTTGTGAACTTTTGATTTTGGGCAGAAAAAGTCTGTGAAAGAAAAGTTGAAAATGGTATTAATGACTTCAATTCTTGAGAAATTAAAGGAGCTTAGATCAGGAAAATTTAGATCCGTTTGTATTAGAGGTTTGTGTTGTCTTGTTCGTTTACGTAAATTTAAGATACTCGAAAGAAATTGTGAATCAAAATTTTATGCAACTAGGATAAGTTCATTAAATCTAAAGGATAAAGGGTGTCACACATGTTATTTGCTGCTCATGAACAATGGTTTTTACATCTAAGAAATGGCAAATGGGATAGAGATAACTGATAATCCCCCAGAAAGAGTAGGTCAGTATTATAACTTTCGAATTAACCTTTTAAAAGATGTTGTTTCGCGCGGGTTAGTCGCTAACAATTAAAAAGGATCAGACGATTGTGTAAGGGACAAACCTCTTGAGACAAAGTCCCAAAAAAGGGTGTTCTTTTATTGGCGATGACTTTACAATTGAAAATTAAAAACAACGTGCCTCCAAGGGACGCAAGCACACGAGTTACTGAAAGAAAAGTGTTTAAGTCTAAAAACAAGGAAATGAAAATTACATGTTTTCTATTCGAGAGTTTTGGATTCGGTCCTTTGCTTCTATGTCATTTCTCCCTTTTATGCTTCATGGACGATCTCTTTGTGATCAACCGCCCTAAAAACTGCTTGATCATCCTATAACTGCCCACTTTCTTCGTAATGACCAACTTGTCATGAAAACTGCCTTTTTTAACTGCTGCCATTACTCTTTATCGTTCAACCGCCTTCGATTGAATTCCTTGAATTGTGGAACGTGATAGGGCTGCTTTAATAACTGTTTTGATAACTTCACTTCTTGATAACCACGCCGCTTTATGTTTGTTAAGACCTTGGGCGACTTGAAGGTTTGGGCGAGAATAGAGTAACAGTTCTGGGCGATTGTATGACACTCCATTCGCTTAGATTCTGGGCGACTTGCAAACTTGGGCGATGGCGTTACCGCATTCTTGGGCCTTCATCTTGAATTGTTCGATTGGGCTTCGTTTCTTTGGGCTATCTGATTTGGGGATCCTCCAATTGGGCTTCACTCCTTGGGCTGTTCCATTTGAGCTGAATTTTTATTTGTCAACAATTACCCCCCAATATGGCAGAATTAATAATATATTAAATTTTGCCATATTCACTTTGTGTTTCCAGCAACATTCAAAATTTCCAAGAATTTCAATCATTATTTTCTTCTATAACTTGAAAAGGTGCGTCGTTTTGCAAACCCTTATAAACCCCAAACACGCCATTTCACTGCACCATTAAACCACGCCTCAAATTTTTTGCGTCTCTCTCACGATTTACTGTTCATCTCTTGCTTCCCTGCTACGTAACCCTGAAAAACTTCGTTCCTTCTCAAATGGCTGCTTCACAATCTCAAGCTGGCAACTCCTTTAGTTTTGATGACTTTCAGAAACTTCTGAGT